CGTCTTCTGTTATGGACTCTTGCATAGGACCCAATTTTCCAATTAAACACACATCGCGTCTTCTGTTATGGACTCTTGCATAGGACCCAATTTTTCAATTAAACACAGCGTCTTCTTATGGACTCTTTGTTATGGACTCTTGCATAGGACCCAATTTTTCCAATTATGGAACACAATTTTCCAATTAAACACACACGCGTCTTCTGTTATGGACTCTTGCATAGGACCCAATTTTCCAATTAAACACACACCGCGTCTTCTGGACTCTCTTGCATGGACTCTCCAATTTTCCAATTTTAAACACACACCGCGTCTTCTGTTATGGACTCTTGCATAGGACCCAATTTTTCCAATTAAACACACACAGCGTCTTCTCTGTTATGGACTTCTTGACATAGGACCCAATTTTCCAATTAAACACACACCGCGTCTTCTGTTATGGACTCTTGCATAGGACACAATTTTCCAATTAAACACACAGCGTCTTCTGCTATGGACTCTTGCATAGGACAGAATTTTCCAATTAATCACACATCGCGTCTTCTGTTATGGACTCTTGCATAGGACCCAATTTTCCAATTAAAACACACGCGTCTTCTGTTATGGACTCTTGCATAGGACCCAATTTTTCCAACTCTTTAAACCCAATTTTCAATTAAGCGTCTTCTGTTATGGACTCTTACATAGGACCAATTTTCCAATTTTTCAATTAAACACACACAGCGTCTTCTGTTATGGACTCTTGCATAGGACAGAATTTTCCAATTAAACACATCGCGTCTTCTGTTATGGACTCTTGCATGGGACTCAATTTTCCAATTAAACACACACCGCGTCTTCTGTTATGGACTCTTGCATGGGGACCTTCAACTTTTCCAATTAAACACACACAGCGTCTTCTGTTATGGACTCTTGCATAGGACCCAATTTTTCCAATTAAACACATTACACGCGCGTCTTCTGTTATGGACTCTTGCATAGGACCCAATTTTCCAATTAAACACACACCGCGTCTTCTGTTATGGACTCTTGCATAGGACCCAATTTTCCAATTAAACACACACCGCGTCTTCTGCTATGGACTCTTGCATAGGACAGAATTTTCCAATTAATCACACATCGCGTCTTCTGTTATGGACTCTTGCATAGGACCCAATTTTCCAATTAAACACACACCGCGTCTTCTGTTATGGACATAGGACCCAATTTTCCAATTAAACACACAGCGTCTTCTGTTATGGACGTTTGCATAGGATTTTTTAGGACCCAATTAAACACACACAGCGTCTTCTGCTATGGACTCTTGCATAGGACAGAATTTTCCAATTAATCACACATCGCGTCTTCTGTTATGGACTCTTGCATAGGACCCAATTTTCCAATTAAACACACACCGCGTCTTCTGTTATGGACTCTTGCATAGGACCCAATTTTCCAATTAAACACACCCGCGTCTTCTGTTATGGACTCTTGCATAAGGACAATTTCTGTTATGGACTCTTTAAACACACACCGCGTCTTCTGTTATGGACTCTTGGATAGGACACAAATTTTCGCGTCTTCTGTTATGGACTCTTGCATAGGACCCAATTTTCCAATTAAACACACAGCGTCTTCTGTTATGGACTCTTGCATAGGACAATTTTTCCAATTAAACACACACCGCGTCTTCTGTTATGGACTCTTCTGTTATGGACTCTTGCATAGGACACAATTTTCCAATTAAACACACACCGCGTCTTCTGTTATGGACTTTTGCATGGGACTCAATTTTCCAATGAAACACACACCGCGTCTTCTGTTATGGACTTTTGCATAGGACACGATTTTCCAATTAAACACACATCGCGTCTTCTGTTATGGACTCTTGCATAGGACACAATTTTCTAATGAAACACACACAGCGTCTTCTGTTATGGACGTTTTCATGGGACTCAATTTTCCAATGAAACACACACTGCGTCTTCTGCTATGGACTCTTGCATAGGACACAATTTTCCAATTAAACACACATCGCGTCTTCTGTTATGGACTCTTGCATAGGACACAATTTTCCAATTAAACACACACCGCGTCTTCTGTTATGGACTCTTGCATAGGACCCAATTTTCCAATTAAACACACACCGCGTCTTCTGTTATGGACTCTTGCATAGGACCCAATTTTCCAATTAAACACACACCGCGTCTTCTGTTATGGACTCTTGCATAGGACATTTTCAATTTCACACCGCGTCTTCTTAATGGACTCTTAAACACCGCGTCTTCTGGGACAATTAAACACAGCGTCTTCTGTTATGGACTCTTGCATAGGACAAATTTTCCAATTAAACACAGATCGCGTCTTCTGTTATGGACTCTTGCATAGGACCCAATTTTCCAATTAAACACACACGCGTCTTCTGTTATGGACTCTTGCATAGGCGTCTTCTGTTATGGACTCTTGCATAGGACCCAATTTTCCAATTAAACACACACAGCGTCTTCTGTTATGGACTTTGCATAGGACCCAATTTTCCAATTAAACACACACAGCGTCTTCTGCTATGGACTCTTGCATAGGACCAATTTTCCAATTAATTCGCGTCTTCATGGATTAATTTTCCACATCGCGTCTTCTGGACTCTTGCATGGACTCTTGTCTTCTGTTAGGACCCATTTTCCAATTAAACACACACCGCGTCTTCTGTTATGGACTCTTGCATAGGACACAATTTTCAATTAAACACACATCGCGTCTTCTGTTATGGACTCTTGCATAGGACCCAATTTTCCAATTAAACACAGACAGCGTCTTCTGTTATGGACTCTTGCGTCTTCTGCAATTTTCAATTAAATTTCTTCAATTAAGGACTGGTACCAAAAACACACCGCGTAGGACACAATTTTCCAATTAAACACACACCGCGTCTTCTGTTATGGACTCTTGCATAGGACCCAATTTTCCATGGGACAATTTTCAATTAAACACATCGCGTCTTCTGTTATGGACTCTTGCATGGGACCCAATTTTGGACAATTAAAACACACACACCGCGTCTTCTGTTATGGACTCTTGCATAGGACCCAATTTTCCAATTAATGGACTCTGCATAGGACACAATTAAACAGCGTCTTCTGTTATGGACTCTTGCATAGGACCAATTTTCCAATTAATCACATCGCGTCTTCTGTTATGGACTCTTGCATAGGACCCAATTTTTCCAATTAATCACACATCGCGTCTTCTGTTATCTGACCCAATTTTCCAATTTGTTATGGACTCTTGCATAGGACCCAATTTTCCAATTAAACACACACCGCGTCTTCTGTTATGGACTCTTGCATAGGACCCAATTTTCCAATTAAACACACACCGCGTCTTCTGTTATGGACTCTTGCATAGGACCCAATTTTCCAATTAAACACACACCGCGTCTTCTGTTATGGACTCTTGCATAGGACCCAATTTTCCAATTAAACACACACAGCGTCTTCTGCTATGGACTCTTGCATAGGACAGAATTTTCCAATTAATCACACATCGCGTCTTCTGTTATGGACTCTTGCATAGGACCCAATTTTCCAATTAAACACACACCGCGTCTTCTGTTATGGACTTTTGCATGGGACTCAATTTTCCAATTAAACACACAGCGTCTTCTGTTATGGACTTTTATAAGGACACGATTTTCCAATTAAACACACATCGCGTCTTCTGTTATGGACTCTTGCATAGGACACAATTTTCCAATTAAACACACACCGCGTCTTCTGTTATGGACGTTTTCATGGGACTCAATTTTCCAATGAAACACACACAGCGTCTTCTGGACGTTGCATGGACGATTTATGGACATGGATTTTCTGAAATCACACATCGCGTCTTCTGTTATGGACTCTTGCATAGGACACAATTTTCCAATTAAACAATTAAACACATCGCGTCTTCTGTTATGGACTCTTGCATAGGACACAATTTTCCAATTAAACACACATCGCGTCTTCTGTTATGGATTATGCATAAGGACACAATTTTCCAATTAAACACACACCGCGTCTTCTGTTATGGACTTTTGCATGGGACACAATTTTCTAATGAAACACACACCGCGTCTTCTGTTATGGACTCTTGCATAGGACATAATTTTCCAATGAAACACACACAGCGTCTTCTGTTATGGACTCTTGCATAGGACACAATTTTCCAATTAAACACACATCGCGTCTTCTGTTATGGACTCTTGCATAGAACACAATTTTCCAATTAAACGCACACCGCGTCTTCTGTTATGGACTATGCATAGGACATAATTTTCCAATTAAACACACACCGCGTCTTCTGTTATGGACTTTTGCATAGGACATAATTTTCCAATGAAACACACACAGCGTCTTCTGCTATGGACTCTTGCATAGGACACAATTTTCCAATTAAACACACATCGCGTCTTCTGTTATGGACTCTTGCATAGGACACAATTTTCCAATTAGACACACATCGCGTCTTCTGTTATGGACTATGCATAGGACCCAATTTTCCAATTAAACACACACCGCGTCTTCTGTTATGGACTTTTGCATGGGACACAATTTTCCAATTAAACACACACCGCGTCTTCTGTTATGGACTCTTGCACAGGCCACAATTTTCCAATTAAACACACCCCGCGTCTTCTGTTATAGACTCTTGCTTGGGCCACAATTTTCCAATTAAACACAGATCGCGTCTTTTATGATGGACTTTTGCAAGGGCCATAATTTTCCAACTCATTTTTGGGACCTCCTTAATACTTTATGTTACATTAAGAAAAAATAAAGAAAGAAAGAAAAAGAAACAGTTGCGATATTTTCGTATTTTTGTTGCCAAAACGCATTCTATGGCTATAGAAACTCTTTTTTTCCACTCTTCATCCGCTGTTCCTAGATAATATTTCATTTCGTCTCTATTGCTTAATTTAGGGAATGGAATAGGTTTCTCTTTTCTGTTAAGTTCATCCCATGATAATTCTGGGAGTGGCTTCAAACCTTTGAACTGTAGTGTAAATATGTATAACGGTGATAGATAGATAGATAGATAGTTTCCCAGAGAATTCTGGGGGGGTCAAAGAGAGTGTAAATAGAGAGAGAGAGAGAGAGAGAGGAGAGAGAGAGAGAGAGAGAGAGAGAGAGAGATTTTCCCACTATATATATTAACAAATATGCATTTTTGCCTTACCGAAAAAAAAATGTATATTGATGGGTATATATTTATTAGCTCTGTTATATTATATCGACCACTATTTTATTAACACCAGAACTCAATGTACGATGTTTTCATATATATATATATATATATATATATATATATATATATATATATATATATATATATATATGGGGGGTATGTAAAGAACATTATACCGAAATTGGGATAAACGTTGAAAAGAGACAGAATAGAGAAAAAGTAGATATCGAGTAAGAGAAGTGATGGCAGCAAGAAATAAGTTTGAAAAGAAAAAAAAGATGAAAGAGATAGAGAAGAAGAAAACTAACGGCAAGCAAAAGTGGAAGGTGAGGTGAAGCTAATGCCGTAAAACAGAAAAAAAAAAACGTAAGAAAAAAGAAAATAAGAATTTGAAATTAAATAAATACATATAAAGAAAAAGAAAGACAAGCAAATAGAATTCACGATGGTTACCATAAAATTTAGTTATCAGTACATAAAAAAATATCAGAAAAAAAATACTTCCAGAAAATTGTCAGTGGGGAGGAGAGTATAGCATATCGGACCATCAATCAATAGCCTAACATCTAATTAGATAAAAGTGTGTGAAGGGTGGCATTTAGCTTTTAACACTGACCACGAGCCCTGCAACTAAAACGCCAAGTTTAGCATTCACAATTCCTCATCTTCAAATATCCCAGTGTTCATTACTCTACCGTCTTGGCCTTGGCTGTTATGTGCGTATAAATCACTGGCTGTGGAAAGAGGGATGCAAGTATCAATTAATTTCGATTACAAGGAATTCGAAGGAATTTTAGAAACAAGGCAAAAAAATAAATGGAGAAATAAATTGAAATAAAAAATATTGTAAAAAAAAAATTAGAAAGTGTGTGAGGAGAAATTCAAAGAGAAGGGAGGAAGGAAAGATTTTGTGTAGTTTAGAAAAATAGGAAAACAATTCAACAAAGATAGACGGAAAATAGAAAGATAAATAAAGAAGAAAAAAAAAAAAAACATTTCAAAGAAGTGAAAAACGATAAAGAAAGACGCCGAAAGAAGAGAAAAGAATGAAAAAACGAAGCTGAAAAAAGATACAAAAGGGAAATAATTAAAGAAGAAATAATGAAAAAAAGAATTAAAAACAAAACAAAAATTAAAAGAGAGGAGAATAAAAAATAAAAAATAAGAAAGACGTTGCAAGAATTAAGAAGAATAAAGAAAGACTCTGAAACAGAAAAGAAGCGAGGAAAGATGCCGAAAGAAATAAACGTAATAAAGAGAAGTCAAAAGAAGAATAAAGGAAAAGAATGAAGAAAGAAGAAAAACAATAAAAAAAACGATATAAAAAAAATAAATAAAAAAAGTATTAAGGATAGAAGATGAAATTAAGCAAAGAAGAAAAAAGAAAGAAGAAATAAAAATCTGGAAAGAAGGAAAAATAAAAATAAACAAGGAAGCTGAATTAAGTAAAAAAAGAATAACGACAGAATAATAAAGACGTCGAAAAAAGGAAAAAGATATGAAAACGATAGTGAATAAAAGAAAAATGATAAAGATTAGAAGTCGAAAGAAGAATAAGGAATGAAAAACGATAGTGAAAAAATTTTTAAAAAGTATTCAAGATAGTAGGTGAAAATAGCAAAGAAGAAAAAAAAAGGAATAAAAGATGAATAAAAAAATAAGAATAAAGACGAATAAAAGAAGAATAAAAAATCTGGAAAGAGGATGAATGCATGAAGATAAGAATGAAAGAAAAATAAAAGAAGAAGTTGAAATAATAAAGAAAAATAAAAAAGGGTGGGATAAAGAAAGGAGGTTTAAGAAATAAAATGAATGAAGAAAGAATAAAGAAAAATCAAGAACAAAGAAGCTACAAAAGGAAAGAAAGAATATACAGAAAGAAAAAGACTCAGATAATTAAAGAAGAATAAAGAAAAAAACAGCAAGAAATAAAGTAGAATAAACAAAGAAAAATAAACAAAAAAGAATAAAGCAGAAGGAAGGATAAAAAGGAATAATAATGAAAGAAAAATAACGAAAGAAGCTGAAGGAATTAAAAAGGAAACAAGAAAGTGAATCAAAAGGAAGCGTAGTGAAAGAACACGAAACAAGAATAAAAGGATACAAAAAGATGAATAAAGAAAAAAAAACTGAAAGAATTAAAAAGAAAAAGAAATAACAAAGAAAAAGGAAAACGCTGAAAGAAAGAGAGAAAAATTAAGAAGGATGAATAAAGAAATACACTGGAGAAAGTGAAGAAAAAACAAAGAAGAAAAAGGGAGAAGCTGAAAGACGTAAAGAGGAATAAAGAAGGAGGAAAGAAAGAAACCGAAAGAAGGGTGAAAAAAGCTAAATATACGAAAAAGAATAAAGAAAAATAAAGAGAGAAACTGAAATAATTAACGAGGGTTAAAGAAGAATAAAGAAGGAATCTGGAAGAATTAACGTAGGATAAAGAAAAAGAATGAATAAAGAAGGGTATTATATAAAGAAGAAGAAAGAAGAAAACTGATGGATAAAGGAGAATAAAGAAGGAATCAGAAAGAAGTAACGATGGATGAAGAAGAAGAAAGAAGAAAGAAAGAAGCTGGAAGAATTAACGTTGGATAAAGAAAAAGAAGGAATAAAGAAGGGTATTATATAAAGAAGAAGAAAGAAGAAAACTGATGGATAAAGAAGAATAAAGAAGGAATCTGAAAGAAGTAACGATGGATGAAGAAGAAGAAAGGAGGAATCTGAAAGAATTAACGACGGATAAAGAAGAAGAGAGAAGAATAAGGAAGGAAGCTGAAAGAATTAACATTGGATAAAGAAGAAGAAATAAAAATAAAGAAGGAAGCTAAAAGAATTAACGATTGGTAAAGAATAATGAATAAGGGAGCTGAAAGAATTAACGATGAATAAAGAAGAAAGAAGAATAAAGAAGTAATCTGAAGGAATTAACAATGAATATAGAAGAAGAAAGAATTAAATTAACAGAAGTAAAGAAAGAAGGATATTGAAAGAAATAACGATAGATAAAGAAGAAAGAAGCTGAAAGAAGTAACGAAGCATAAAGAAAGAAGCTGAAATAAATAATGAAGGATAAAATAAAGAAAGAAGGAAGATAAAAATCAACAATAAGTAAAGATGAGTAAAGCTGAAAGAAATAACGAATGATAAAGTAAAAGAAAGAAGGAAGCTGAAAGAATTAACAGCCAAAGATGAATAAAGAAGCTGAAAATTGTATTAAGAAGATTGTGAATCGTTGGGAAAAAAGATAATTGATAATGATTGAACCTATGTTAATGAATGAATTCTAATTAAGCCCTTTTTTTTTCTTTTACATCTTTATGACTAGAAATTCTGTCATTACTCATCAGATGACTTGTTAATTTATTAAGGAAATGAATTTCTCATTTAGCGACTTGTTCATTCCTGACTCTCGTTTCTATATGATTATTTAAAGTGAAATGCCTATTATTTATTTATTGCCAGTCGCGAGCCAGTTTCTTTGGTTTAATACGAAAACGAACAAAACGTTTTTCTTCTGAGGGTCAATACTCATGGTGGAGTGCCCGAAATGTTTTCTCAAAAATACGGAGGCGGGATCTTAATCAAAAGTGGGTAGGAAAACCATTTAAAGTGTCAAAAGGTGCGAAGTTAAATAAAGCGTATAGTCTTAATATGCTTGTGTTTACCGGATGTTTTCCTCAATAAATAAATAAAATAAACGTCTTCTCCCGTCTGTTCGGCACCTAAGAGACGAAGAAATAAAACGGAAATAAAATAGATTATTACACTCTACTCCAAGAGCTTTACTTACAAATAATATTCATGATAATAATTCCAAAGAGTTCGGTTCAAAATTTAGAGATTTATGTCGAATACGACATATACCGGAAGAAGGCAGCAACAGTCGAAACGTTTTCACTAAAATAATATGAGGACAGCAACTCAGGTGAATAAAATTATTTTAAGAATCTTTTTAACCAGTCAGTGAATCTATTAGTGATTGCTTTGATTGATTGATTTGTTTATTTTTTACGGTTTATCAACCCTTTGTGGATCATTTAAAATCGAAACACATCTCGGGTTGTAGGAAGTTGCTTACAGTTCCCGAAGATCTGACAGAGATTCTCAAAAGATAATGCAAATGGTAATTATCCTTAAACTGCTGACTGTATATGATAATGGTAAAATTAGCAGTTTCCATACAGGAAACATCAGGCACTTATTGACCAAACAGTTTGCGTTACTGTCGGCTAAAATTTATAAAACCTTTTCTTAAAAGAGTCTTTTAGAAAATTACTTTTCTCAAGTTTAATTTCCTGAAAAAAAATTATAATATTGAAAGCATTTTTCTTCTGAAACTTTTTTTAAAATGTAGAATGGAAAATCAACATCTATGTTATACTAACTAGCATCATGACCCGGCGTTGCCCGTGCTTGATTAAAAAATCGTACGACTCATACAGCAATCGCTATCACTTGACTTTTTGCCATTCCTTGCCTTTAAAGGAGTGCCCTTTTCCGTGCTGATGTTGCTACATGCCTTACTTCTTGGCTATCTCACACTGCGAATTTTTATAAGCTCTATACTAAACATTAAATCTGTTACGAAAAAGAACTAAACAAAATGAACACAAAACGATCAGCTTTAAAAAAAGGACTCGTTACTGGAAAAACCGAATGAAAAAGAATGTTAACAACAAATATTTTTTCACACCCAACCCAGTTCTGCGGAATCAGAATCAACGTTGAGTTTAAGCAAACGAATGAGCCAATTAGAGTAAAGTGCTATGCAGATTTAAATTTTTCCCACTTGTGACGAATGCAGCTATCGATTTTTTTTGCATGCTAGTATGCTAGTTAACATTCGTGTCAGTCAGCTGTTGGCTCCTACGCTGGCTAATAGAATCTTCCTGCCTATTCGTGGCAGCCAGCTATAGGCTCTCACTCTGGCCAGTACAAAATGGCCGCAAACTACATGAAAACTGCCGTAGAAGCATGAAAAAATCGATTATTTCAACTATCGATGGGAGTTAGGAAATGCAAAGACGGTCTTGGCCTTCCCGCTAACTTGGAGCATGTGCATGTAAATTTTGGTGCAAATCCGTCGAAAATTGCGGCCGTGCATTCGTTACGCCCACACCCACACACACATCCTGCCTTTTATAGATAGAGATCATTATTTTTTTATTCTAATTAAATATGCTACCGTTTCAGTTGTTGCTAGCGGAAGTCTTCAAGTGATGCGATTTTTTTTATTTGGATTTTTCTTTGGTTTGGTTTGTTTAACGGCAAATCAACTCCTTATGGGTCATTTAATGCTGAAATCTCATTTTCTTGTGAACTTCGTGATATTTTTTCAATAATGTATGGTTGGTATCTGTCTATACCTTAGCTCAAGGACACATGGCCAAGTAGATAAAAAAGGTTGTTTAGATCCAGTGACAAAATCCAAAGAGTTCAATATCAAGCCAAAGCAGTGGTGAACAAAACACGGCGAGTTGAGTTAAAGGAAAATAATTGAGATATCCGAAAGAAGCATGGCACGTGGAACTAGAAAAATCTACCCAGGTGAACGAAATAAAGGGTTCGGTTCGAAATTCCAATCACTTGAAGAAGGCCGGAATTTACAATGGCCGAAACGTTGTGGATATGGCAATGAAGATGAGGATAACAGTCATCGTAATGTAAATAATGCAAGTAATGTATGGCTGGTAATTATTATTTTCTTGGTATGAAAATGTATTTCTGATAATATTTTTTAATGCATTTTCATATTTTCATGTTTTGACCCTAGTATTTTAGGAGAGTCAGTATTTGCCTATGACTGGGGCCCTAACAGGGCTACTACCCGGGTCACGGTGGACCTGTGACCAGTAATTATGAGATGGCTCCAATCTCCTCAAAACCTCACAATCAGATGTCTTGCTGCCGGATGTAGTTTATCGTCATAACCCGGACTTATTTGATAAAATGCTTTTATTTTTGTAGTATCTAATGAAAGATTGTCTTCAAAACCTAAAGGATACATTCATTTGAAGTTATTTTTAATAATAAAAAAAAATGTATATTTTGCTGGTAGTTTAAACTAATTTCTGAATGGGTTTGACGCTGAAGAGTGTAAGAAAACAACAACCAAAATAAGGAATCTTATCCTAATAGCATAGCACATATTGGTACCTCTTAAGATCTGCTAAAGATTGAGCATAACTATTATGTAAAAATGCCACAAACTTAACAAAAATAAAGTTCTACCGCCAAAATCTTCATGTTGTTAAGAGGAAAAACCAAAGAATTTTTTTTTTATTATTATGTAATCTTTTTTAGAATAATTTTTTCTTACGTGTGCGGGTGACCATAAATTGGTATAAGAAATTTTAGTGTCTTTTTGCGGTGAAAAGTACATTAATTTGAAAATTCTTGCAAAAATCAAATAATTATCGCATTTTAATGAAACTTTCAAGATTTATTCAAAAATAAATGTAATTATTTTCGAAACGTTGCTGTTATTAGAAAATTTAGGTAAAAATTTTTATCTCAGGAGTCTTTGAAGAATTTACATCATAAATATTTTTTTCTAAAAGATTTTTTCGCAGTTACAGAAAATCTGCTCTGAATTGCAAAATAAAAATGCAATAAATCTAAGACATTATTTAATTAGAAATGCATTTTATTGCTTTTATGACTAAGCTATATTAATGGACACTACTGTCCCCCCCCCCAAAAAAAAACATTTTTCGATGAATAATGAATTTTTACAAGAATAGTTTTCATTTTTTTTTAATTACAGAAATTATAAAGTTCTAAGTCTTTTAAAATTCTGTTTTAATTTGAAGCGGTGAGGTGATATTGCTATTCAGTAAAAACTATCTTTACCAATCATAAATAAAAAAAAAAACTTGCTACAAATCAGCGACTTACAGTATTTTAAAAAAGATTTGTGTGTGTGTGTGTGTGTGTGTGTGTGTGTGTGTGTATAAACGTGCCGATGTTCGTAAATACAGATGTCCATATCATACTAAAATTCAATAAAACATTAGATTACTTAGAATATTTTCGTAAACTTTAAAGATTACTGGGTAGTTTAAAAGTTATATAACAGAAGGCGCTCACGTTATATTCGTCAAGTAATATTTACAGATATGTCTCCCGTAAAAAGATGAGTTAAATTTCCCAAACATGAGGCTGTCAAGTCCTAATAAGAAAACCCATCTCCGTGTTAAAAAATGCTTTTTCTGCGATATTTTAAACTAAAAGTTTATTTGTCTCAAATCAGATTAATTAAACTTTAAATCATCTAATCTGCCCTAAATAAAGTTTCAGAAAAGTATATTTTATATTTGAAAGAGGTTTTAATAAAGATAATTACGGTGTGCTGAAAGATTTGTAAATATGTCTAAAATCAGTCATTTTTAGTCAGGTAAAAAATAATTCATTCTAAGCAATTGAAATTCGTTTTGAAATACGGCAAAGTATTTTGCTCTTTAGAAATATTAAATTTAATCTATTAGCTTGAAATTAAAATCTTTTGGAGTTACCTACTTATAATCTATCATTCGCCCGCCACAACATAATGACTATACCTGTAGTAATATTTTTTTAATAACATTGATTTTTAGGGACGGAAGCAGACACTAATTTCCATAGTTTATTTTTCATAATTATCATTGAATTGCCAAGCTTTCTTGAAAGACGCAGCTGAAGAGTTTCCTGTTGCTTTTTCCACGGTTGGAAGTCAGGGTTGTGCTCCTAGACTGGCTAACACTCATGGCTAAAGGGCCCAGTTTACCCTGCTGTTTAATTCATAACTGTAGGGAGATAGAGTCATGACTTTCCCAAGTTCATTAGAGCGAAAGTGAACGCAAAAGACTCTGTTTAAAATCGAACCGGACAAGGCGATTTCACTTTATGCGCCAATAACTTTCAGTAATATACTTTATCTTTTGACTCAAACATTTAATATCCTACTTCGTTGTATTATCAGTCAGTTATGTGTCATGCGTGATACACGCTTAGACGATCATGTATCTTTCGATACATGATTGACGAGGCAATTTTTTTTCTCGCAACAGGATGCCATTTCTTTCTGCGGTAGACCAGTTTCCACCGAAGGCTATATAACCCATTCTGTTCTGCTATTTACCCATAGCTAGAGGGAGAAGAAGAGGATTCATAGGTTACCCAACGGTATTAGCACGTAAGTGAATGTAATGGATTCGACTGGAATTCGAACTCGGCTCTCCGATTCCTCAATCTGAAGTCACTATCCATTACGCGTTGTATCATACAATGCTTAAAACCTTATAGAAATAACAGCAAAATTTCACGATACTAATTTACAAAGCGGAGATATGGCACAAAACTATGGAACATCTAGTGAGGATCGAACTCACTAGTGTTTGATATGGTGAGACAAGTTTGCTATTCATTGCACCACGTAGAAGATCTCAATTTAAGAAGATGTGCGAAAGTTACTCATATTTGAATATATGTAACATATTACTTGCATTGCTATTTCTAATGACATGCTTTTCAAAAGTTGTCATAGCTAGGGATGGTAGTATTGGACAAGCTTCCAGTGTCTATAAAATGCTTACGTGGCAGTTAAGTCCAGTCATAAGCCGGAGAATACACAGAGCCGAAAAATACCAGATTTCCAGTAGATGGAACTCGATAGTCCATCAAGAAGGTAAACCCTGATTTTGAACCTCCGCTTTGCCTTGCGCTCATATCAAACCAAACACGGAAAAGGCCATGGAAGCAAATCTAGACAGAAAACCCGTAATGGTGCTCCTAAGGTGGTTGGATGTTAGCATTGACAACATTCTGACAATTCCTGCAGCAAAGTCGTACCCAAATGTAATGCGCTGTATTGCTTTGTATCTTACCGGTACGGCCGAGAAGGGGTGTGGCATGCGCTCGACCTCCATATACCATCGCCTGAGCCCTGGACAGATCACTCCAGTTTCACTGGCAAAATGCTGAATTTTGAACAAATAGGGCGCTACCTTTATCTCGCAAGATAAACGGATACCTACTTGAGTCAATGGCGTGTTTCTTTACGTTACGTGCTAATACCGTTGGGAAATCTATGAATCCTCTTTTTCTACCCCCCCAGCTATGGGTAAATAGTTGTATGAACGTATTGTTTGTTATACTCAGAATCTTTCGGCGTTCTATTCTTCGGCCTGTTTCAGGTGTCCGTTTTCGTATTCGGTAACGTTTTCAGAATTTCGAACCGAAGCGTTTATTTAATCTACGGTGGTAATGATAATACTAATTTAATCTACGGTGGTAATGATAATACTAATATTAGCCGTTTCCTTATAAGGAAGCACCGAACAGCCAGTACTACCATCGGTTGAAATTTATAAATTTTTTTCTCTTAAAACAATTTTTTCAGGAAAATAGGTTTCTCAAGTCCAGTAGCTGTTATCGTTCTTTCTAATATTAATGGGAGTTTCATTCCTAACCTTGTAGTGTGGAATGTCAGTATACTGTCATTATATTTGAGTTAAATATGATATTCAATTTAGCAATTGTTTCTAATCAAAGTCCTCAATTGATGTTCTTTCTGTTATTTGGTACAGTTCTTTGTGTTTCTTTTGCACTAGTCCACAAGGTTCGAACAAGTGTGGTCTTCGCCAAGATGTACAAGTTTCCCTCGCTCAAAGCCATTTTAATTTTTTTTTTTTAAGAATTTCACCCCTAGCAAGGCGGGAAGCCACTAGGACGCAAGGGGTTACAGAAAATTTAGAGCAAGATCAGATAGGAGTGATAGAAGAAAGGATGAGGGTAGTGGATAGATCAAGGCTACTGGAGATGTCGATTGACATTACACTTGAATAGCTGGAGATTATAGCTCACAGGGAAACAGGAATAGGGAAGGGAGTTCCACAGGCGAGAGGTGCGAGACATGAGGCTATTGGAGTAGAAGAGACAGCTACATTTAGGAGTCTCGACAGTGAAGGGGTGAGAGCGGGTTGCCAGCCTCGTAGGGCGCTTGAACTCATGACGTCTGTGAACCAGCGAATGCAGCTCCTCGGAGCAATTTCCATGAAAGTATTTGTAGAACAGACAGAGGGAGGCGACGGCGCGTCTTTGAGAAAGTGACTGTAGACGAGACGCCAGAGCAGGGCCAACTACATTGCATATCCGCCTCTGGAGCCTATCAAGAACCCCGAAGCAAACAGAAGGGGCGCCAGACCATATATGGCTGCAATACTCCATGCAAGGGCGAATTGTTGATTTGTAGATTATTGATCTGAGAAAGCGGTTATATCCAAATTACAGCGTAGATATTACGGAACGGGGTTGTTCTCAAATCAAGAGTGGAATAAAGCGTTGGTTAAAACATATCAGCTTCTCTGGCAGTTGTGGCTTCAATATTTGGGCCTGAAAATTCGTATGTTCTGGTTTAGTGGAAGAAACGAACAAGAGAGATAAAAGTGGATATGATTGGTTAGTATTAACTTATACGAAATTTCCCTTAAGGATGGGAATCGGTAAGAGAACAATTCCTCCTCGGTTCGAAATTCCAAGGATGGTATCGATTGATGGCAGACATTTGATGGTAGAACAACCAAAACGTTATCTTTATAACAATAAATATCAGCGTTCTCTTCGGAATGAGAAAGGCATATAATCATGATAATTCCTCATCTCAAAATTCCTAAATAAATAATGAACAAAAGCCGAAGGGTAAAACGGTTGAAACGTTGTAATTAAAACAACCAAGATGAGCAGACTGATCTTAGTAGCATAACATATAATAATGATAAGTCCTCAACTAAAGAATTCCAATATAAATAATGGAAAGAAGCTGCAGGTTACAACGACTGAAACGTTGTGAGTTTAGTCACCAAGATAAACACGCTGGCCCAGATAAAAAAACACATAATAATAATAATAATAATAATAATAATAATAATAATGGATGATATGAAAGGTTCTAAGTTTTACTGATGACAGAAGGCCGGAGATTACAACTGACGAAACGCTGTGAATATAATAGCATAGCATATAAAATAATAATTCATCAGTTTGGCTTTTTTTACAGAGAGAGAGAGAGAGACAGAGAGAGAGACAGAGACAGAGAGAGAGAGAGAGAGAGAGAGAGAGAGAGAGAGGAATGTGCACTATAGATATACAATCTCATCACGCTTGAGTTGTTTCTCTAGTTTTCGGAGGCAAATAGAGAAGAATTTCCAGGTTACAACGTTATGAGTATAATCACCCCGATAAACACGCTGACCCAGAGAGAAAAACACAATAATTATAATGGATGAGATGAAAAGTTTCCAAGTTTTAGTGATGAAAGACGGTCGGAAGCGAAACGCTGTCATTATAATAACACGGCATATAAAATGATAATTCCTCAGTTCAAATATTCGGAAAGAATTTTTTTTTCCAGAGAGAGAGAGAGGAGGGAGAGAGGGGGAGTTTGGACTATAGGTCTACAAACTCAATACGCTTGGGTTTCTGCTCTAGTTTTCGTGACAAATAGAGAGGAATTTCCAAGCTCACACAACACCGATACTGAATTCAGTGTTATCCTTCTCCTACTGGTTTCTAACCCAGTCTGTACTCTTGATTAGGTAAAAATATATGGAAAATATATTATTCCTAGCAATTTCTCAAGCGGAACTCGTACATACGATTCATCGCTAGAGATACTGGCAAAAGGCTCGGTTCTCGGTATTACTCCAGTAAATACTTGACACCTCCGCTAATCCTCTAACTTTACAAGAGACAGATCAAGCCGAAAATGGAGTACCTCTTGCCATACATAAGCAGGAGATTCCTAGTCCACACTTGCCTGTCTTGATAGAGTCCAAAAGCATCTTCGCGCCCTTGTGGGTGATGAATTATTTTCCACCCTACTACTCCTTTCCGTCGCAAGCCTCTAGCTGCTTTATCGCTATTTTTATGGAAAGTGCTCAGACAAAACCCATTCCTTAGTTCCACTCGTTCGAAACATCACGGCTAAGACCCGCCATGTCACTCACATTGTTGCGAACCACCCACATTCCTTTCATATTCCAGGTAAGATGTAAGTTCCCTTCTTTTGGTGAACCATTGTTTTGTGGAACCGACGACCAAAAGGATGCTTTCCCGATCACTACAAACTAAACCTGTTCAATTCTAGGGTCAACCGCTATCTACCCCACGTACCCGTATAAACTGTGTCGCTTACTCTGTAACCATTTATCTCGCGTGACTCCCGGGCTTTGGACACAGTGAACATCACTGTAAAAAAAAAAAAAAAAAAAACTCTTTATAATTTTCTCTGGAATTGAATGTGTAGTGTGGTTTTACATACTAT